AAAGCTGAGGCTTGAAACCTTAAAATCCACATATCAGTTGTAAAGCTAGTACTGCGAAAAGCAATTTTTGCATCAATTTATTCTTTGCTTTGCACAGCACACTGCTTAGAAAAATCCAAAAGGGAGAAGTGTGGACCCTCTGTGCAGTGATCCCCCAGGGCCAGTTACTAAAGTAGGCCTTCTGGTCCTGTCAGGGCACACCTCAGGCTTGCCCGCTACTTCTCTGAAGCACCCCCTCCAGGTGTTTACCTTCAAAACTAACCAGGACCAGAACACTCTGTCCCCAATCCTGAGGCCTGCACACCTGAAAGGCGACACTGGACCGTCCTACCCTGACACAGATACAGAGGAATCAAAAGTCTTTGGCAGGAGCTGCCCAAATAGCTCAGCAGATTAAAACACCTGCAAGCATGTGCAGGGGCCAGGGGTTCGATCCTGGGGCCTGCCATGCTGGCCCCACTCCCGGGGCGCGCTGAGATCGCAATTGAGACTGGGCGTGGTGGCACACCCCTGTAATCCCAGCTCTTGGGAGGCTGTAGACAGGTAGATCACTACGAGTCTGACCTAGCAGTGAGATCCTGATTACCCAGTAGACTCTTCCCTAAAAAAATGGTCTTAGGCAGGTTCATTACCCAGAAACTTCTCCCAACTATTGAACTGAATCAAAAGCGATGTGTAGAGACTGCCAAAGATGGATTGAGAGATCCCCTCAGAAAACAGTTCAAAACATACCTTTTCTCTCTGGGTGGATCCGACAGGCTGTAAGCTCTTTGCCCTGCAAGACACAGAATGATAAAATGAGAGCCATGAGGCAGACAAGCGTGCAGTCGTGTGGTAGGCTGAAATGCACGCTCACCGTGTTTTGTCAGTATCTATGCTACCAGCTAGAAAATAACGTGAAAACAAGTTACAACATAGAAGTAAGACACTGCTCTGGGTATCTTTATTGCTTTCCTTAGTCTGGAAAGAGTGGGGCAGAGACCAAATTCATGACTAGAGGAGACAAACATTTGCAGAAGTGCTCACCATCAGTTCTATATATTTGGATTTCTACACACCAGAGTGCTCCTGCCTCTATATTAGTCATATTACTAATTCTCCAACACAGAGACTCAGTGAAGGTCTTAGCTACTTACTACTTTAGTAAAGCTCAAAGGAAATGTCTCGATGGCCAGCCTAAGGGTTGATCTTAGAACTATTGAAATGCCTTTAGAAAAATCCCAGCAACAGCCAGTTCAGAGGTGGCCTCTGGTTTGCGGCTCATGGGAGAGGGGAACCACCATCCCGTGGGTTGTGGGAGAGAAGACGGGCCCACACAAGCATGGTACCACCTTGCTTCTGGAGTTGGAGTACAGTACTTAGTACAAGACCAAAACAGACAAGGAGTTAGACTGCAAGAGTCTGAAGGAAGGCGTGGTTACCATGGAGCTCACCACCAGCAAAGTGGGACCCACCCTTACTAGCACGTCCACAAAGAGGCAAAACCAAGTTGGAAAGGGAAATGGGTCAGATGCATAGGAGAACAAGGAAACGTCCCCTGAGACATCTGAACAGCATTGGTGCCCCTGGTATGAGCTTGCACACAATGCAAACCTACTCCGAGGAAGTTGAAGGTTTTATAAAATGTTCCTCAAATGAAGTCACAGGCAGAATCATGATCCTTTACTGTAAATAGAGTGAAGTTATAAGAATTTGAGATGTCCCAGTTATATGCTAATAAAACAGATGCAGGCAATGGGACATGATCTAATAGGCATCCTTCCTTTGGTTCACAGTAACTTCCAAAAGTAGGTTGAGTTCGTACCCCAAATTCTTTTTTTTTTTTAAATGTATTTAATTGTTGTAGGGTCTCACTACACAGCTGCAACTCATAGTGATCCTCCTGCTTTCAGCCTCCCCAGTGTTAGGATTACAGGCCTGCACCACCACGCCCAGTCTCTATGGAAGCTCAGCACACCCTGGGGGCAAGCCTGCACTGGCGCAGCATGTGGTGCCAGGGATTGAACCACAGACCCTGTGCTTGCC